TGATTCTGCTTAATGACGTGCTTTCCTCATTCATTTCTTCTTCCTATTTGTTTGAGATGTACTTTAATAGTTTTCGGGGTAGAATATTCCTATTAAAAATTAGGAAGTTGCAGTTCTCCATACGGTTGTACTTCCTGAAGTAGTACAGTTGCCGTGTGGAATTTGCTCCAATGGTGAGATTTAAGGCTGTAGGCTTGGAAAATTCCTATTAACTTTTGCTTTATCTGGATCTCCTCTTCTTTAGGAGAAAATCACAGATCTTTTTTCTCTTTTTGGGCGGTGAATAACTAAAATGAAATGCACGGCTGGTGTAGGAGGTGGAATTCGGGTCTCCCCTTGTTGCAGCTTGTTGGGGATGTTATTGGGGATGTAGTGTTGGGGATGTAATGTTGGGGATGCTATTTCTGCAGCTGCTTGCCTTGCATTGAAATGCAGTTATAAGAAACCAAATCTGAGGTCCAACAGAGTCAATCTGGTCCTTTTTGGTTGCTGTAATTTCCAAAAAAAATACATCCAGTGAGCCAGATCCATGTCTCCGCCTCATGAATGCTGGTAATAAAAGTGGAAGGGAAAGTAAGTCATTACTTGTTTTATAGTCAGCTGTAAGTTGAAGATGGCTGTAAGAAGGCCAGAAATTTAATTGGATTAAAAAAAAAAACAAAACAACAACTGTCTAGGTAGCTTGTTTTCTAGAGCTGGAAGCACTGGACAATTAAAGAAGAAACAAATTTCGGATGGTCTTGGATTGCCGTGTCCTCCCACCCTTGCCAGTTGGCACATGGGGAGTGCTAAATGCTGCTTTCCATCTCTGTCATGTTCAGTAGCATCACCACATCTTCCCTCTGTATTCATCTCATCTCCTTCTGAACCGTTTGGCTCCGTAACATCCTAGAGTTCCAGAATTTAATTATGCATTGCACATCCAAATTACTCCGTTTATTTATGTAAATAATTCAGCAGTTATTTCACTGGGACCTCTCGGTTCTTGCGCTCGTGACACGGCGAATAATCATTATTTAACTGCTCCGAACTTAGCGGTTTTTAGTGGATCCTCCCACACCGTTGTCCATCTTCCAGGAATCCCAGCCTGTTGAGGCTCTCTTGGGAAAGAAAAACACACCATGCCTCATATCAGTCCTGCCATCCCATCCTAATTTTATAACAGGTCCAAAGCTCTTGTATCAGCGGTTGGTTTCGAGCCAACGCAAGTCATTAAAAACATTTAATTTCCTTCCTTCCCTCCCTCCTTCTGTTTAATAATGTCCGTTGAATTTAGATAAGGATTTCTAAGTGAGGTCCAAAGATGAGGCCCTTCGATTTTCCAAAGATGAGGTCCAAATCCAAACCAGTACCAACCCCTTAGAAAGAGCAGATGTTGTTGATATGAATGAATGAGCTGCACACCGCTTAAAAACTGAGACGTGAAAGCATCGTGATCTCTCATGCCCGGGGAAGATGATCCATGACAGACGTAAATAGCTTGTCCAATATCGTGCGAGGAATTTGTAGCCGAACCTAAAATAGTGTCTCCGTTCTCAGAGCCAAGCCTGAGTTAAAGGATGATCCCTTTCACTCTGTTCTTATTACACAACGCTTGATACTTTTAAAACAGCAAGGGAAAAAAAAAAAGAGGAGAACAGCAGTCGGTGAAGCAGCACGGATAGTTCCTTGACAAGGTGACATTAAAAACTGGGTTTTACAGCTTTGTGTCTTTTGCTGTGTTTTCTGATTCACTACCTAACGTGCACTGTCATTACAACGGCTTTATTTAATATTTACTGTTTGAGCTAAATCCTTAAGAAACCCTTCAGGCTGCACATACTCAGCAGTTCGTAGAGGAAGGCAGAAAAGCATCCCTAACTCATCTTCTGGAGCCCAGGCTTCAAAGGCTGTGCTCTCCCAGGTTGGTGCAGACAATCAATTACAACTTACCCAAGTCATTATTGATGCACAAATGGGGTAGTAATTACGGCTCAGAATTAATTTGGGGACAGAACAAGGAAACAAGAAGACTGAACAGGGATGGGGAGCTTTGACTCAAAAAGATGCTTGAGAAACAACCACTATGTAAGTGCCGTGTTAGAGTTGTGTTAGTCCTGCAGCTCTGGAGATTTCCCAGTTTCAGTTTCCTCTCGGGTATAAATTTCCTTGAAAGGAAATTCAGAAAGAAAGGAAATTCAGGAAATCCAGAGTTTAAAGAAAAAATGTGGCCTGAGGAGCTGCTAATCCGGGCATTTAGTTCCTGATTCTACCAGGTGTTTTTTGTGAGTCCTTGGTTAAATCAGTTGCGGTGGGATTGGTCTCATCTGATTTTGGCTTTGATTCAGTTTCTGTGCTTCTCCATCGTCAGCAATGCCGTGAAAGGGTGATTAATCCTACCTGGAAATACATGGGAAACTTGCCACATGGAGGTGCTTACCTGTTAAAGGGAATGCATAAAGCAAAACCAAGTGCTCGAGACTTTTCTTCTGTCCTTACTGCTCAGTGATGGGGTGTCTCTGCTTGAAAGTGAAGTTCCTAATAAACAAGTGTTTATAGGAACAGAAAAAGTTTGAGGCTTTTTTTTTGGTGTGTGTGCAACTTCAGCTTTTAAATGTACTTAGGTACAATTGTCCTTGGTTCCTTTAACGGTCTGGAATTTCGGTTCATGCTACAGTTCTTCCCACAAAATAAGTGTAATCATGTTTCATTTATCATTGGGTTATTCTGACATGCCAGATATAAGTACAAATATATGAGAGCATGAATTGCAATAGAAAAGGTATCTGTGCCTCAGCAGTGTCTTTTGAGTTGGTCTGAGGTAGTGATGAAGTCTTTTGAGACGCTCAAAGACAGAAATTGAAATTATTCGTGCACAAATGCTGTTTTCCCCCAGATAGGTCTTTTTGACTTCCCTTCAACATGCTGGCACAGCTGCAGTCCCTGCAGATGCTGACATAATCCGTGTTTATGCTATGCCCCTTTGCTCAGTTTGGTTTTTAAAAACAGGAGGACGGAGGCAGAACAGTGACAATGATTTTCAATTAAAAACTGTATACAGTCGGTGGTACCCGCTACGAATGCAGCCTAGCAATCCTACCGAGCGATAAACCACTGGGGAATTCAGACTCGTATTAAAATTCTGCAAGGCGGCTCTGATTAAACAGCAAAATCCTCCTGCAAGATGAAGAGTGAGAATTATTGTCGTGTGAGAGATGAGAGAAGCCGGAGCACACGAAGGTCACGGAGGTTGGCACGGGGTCACTCCGAAGATCTCGAAGGAGATCGTGGACTTCCAAGGCCACAACTTGGTACTGTAACCATGAGGGATATTTCATTAGGATATGTGCTAGTGTGGGAAAGTGAGAAATGTCTTTGGCTAGAGATGAAAGCAAAACACATTCATCCTTTTCTATTTATTAGATTGTCATTACATTGTTCTCGCTCTGAATTTTTGTTACAGCCACCTAGGAGATGGCTTCATTACAGAGAGGACTGACTCTCAGTCTTTATCGTACGGAGCCTACCAAATAGTAAAACTGGGAGATAGTAGGTGAAAGAAATTAAGAAAATGTGTTTAGGACATCTGAGTTACCTTGAAGGATTCGAACAACATAACCCCATTGCAGCCATATCACAGAAACCCCATTAGAAATAATCTGACCAAAAGCAGGATAGCCATTTTAAAACATTAGCTAGTTTTATTAATTTATCACAAAATAAACCACTGCTTCTTCCCCAAATCTGAAACATTTCTAATTTAATTGAAATGCTGCTCTCTGATTTCCCTAATGCCTCGCTCTAGCCTGATGAAGGAAAGCCTCCGAAGATGGATGGTTAGTGAATAATGTTTTTTAATGCTATCCAAATAATACCGTTTGTGTTTTCATATGATAAAAAAAGGGCGTCTAATTAGGAGAGATATCCTGGAAAATAGCTCTCCAGGGCTTGCTTATAAGATGGACTTGGCTTTCGGTGGGAGGCCGACTGGTGCTGAGGGGAAGCCGTGGTGACTGGCAGCTGGTTGTATTCAGCATCCTTCCTTGTTTAATCCCTGGACTCCTGCTATATCACGAGCCAGGATGCTGTCAGGTGTCCATCTGAATCTTACAGCCTCCGGATTCATCTCTTTAAGAAAATAAAAGCCACTGATGAATTAATGTGGCTGTATTTATTACGAGCATGTCACCCGCGTGGCTCGTGGTAGCCAGCCCGCACAAGCCTGCTGTGTCCTTTTTTAATATGGTCTCCTTTGCATTGCTTCTTGGCTCATATAAATGAAAACGTGCACATATTTCACATCGGTTTTGCTTTAGCCTGAGAGATGATGACCAAAAGCTGGCTGTTACTTTTAGTGATGTTGTCCACACATCAAAAAGCACACGCTAACACATGAGCTCTTTGCAGTAGTAATTTTTCTGTAGATGGCAAGAGTATGTATTTAAAAATTTAATCGGTGAGTGAATAGGAGAGATGGGCTTTCTTCTGACAAAATTAACGTGCATCTCTTGTGGTCCAGGACCTGTTTCTGGTAGAGGATCTATAGATATATCACCTCCAATATACCTATTCTCTTCAGAATGAGGTATCTGAAAGCCATTGATGTGCTTCAGCTTAAACATTTAATGCCATATTTGATGCAAGGCACCCAAAACATCTCCAGGGATGTGGCTATTTCTGAAAGCCTGTGCCACGGGATTAAAGGGGGAATGTGGGGCCAGATCCTGCATCTCCTGCCCGATGCCAAGGCTCAGGCCCATGGCGCCCACCTCAGAGCTGAGGCAGCCCCAGGAGCCTGGCAGCACAGCAAGGCCCTGGCATGGCAGGGTGGTGACAGCCACCAGCAGCCACCTCAGGCATGGTGAGGGAACCATTTTCATCCCCCCAGGAGCAGCTGGAGGTGACAGGACCACCATGGTCCTGAAGCAGCCACCTGCAGCCCATAGCCAGCCCCAGCTGAAACAGGGCTGTGGAGAGGGGGATCCAGGCGTGACCTCTTGAGGTAATTAATGCTGAGAGGGTCCTCACCTGGTATCTTTCGAAAACCCCCAAGGTCTCACCTGTGAGCTATTGACAACCAGAGCTCATTTATGAGCCTCAAGGAGGAAGGAATGAAGGGTTGGTGGCCTCCTTGTTGCTCTATGGGATGTGCAGGGGAGAGGATGTTGGTTGGGCCCTGGTGCTGCTTGTAAAGGCATAAGGTAATGTGGAACTGCTTTTATTCTGTGTATTTTTTTGTTGTAACTTATTGTATTAGATGTGTTGAAAGGGGATATGACTGAGGTGGTATGATATATGACAAAGGGGATGGCTTGACATACATGTATGACAAAGGGGATGTGACTGAGGTGGCTATGACAAGGGAACCCTCCTCTGGTAAAAATTAGGAGGTAAATGTGCTGGGTAAAAGTAAACTTACTGGGAAGTTCCCTTCATGGTCAGCTTGTAGGAAAAGATCTATGTGGGGTAACAAGCCCAAGCCTGCTGCAGATCTGATATCTGCATGGGGTGTGCAAGCATTGCCTTGTGAAGGGATACCTTGTGCTATCAGTAGGATTGCTAATTGTCCTCATTAGGAAGGTCATGTTGAGTTATTCCGGAGGGTTTCAATGAATGGTATTGCAGTCTAACATGCAAGACTTTAAAAAAAAAAATAAAAAAAAAAAAATATATATATATATATATAAAAGAAGATAAAGGATATAGGTAGTGGTATGTTAGTGGGCTGTGTGATACCAGCTGTGTGCTGATGGGTTTCTTGTTGGCCTCTGAGCCTGTGTGAATTTAAACAATATCCTCTTATTGGTATTGGCTTGCTTTGGAGCTGAATTGCTTACAGGTAAACACGGTATAAAAATGTTTCTATAACCAGTGCTGTGCAGCATCCATCCTCTGTTTTGTCTTCTTTAAACTACCACTGAGCAACAGTTTCCAGCTCATGATTTAATCTAGGCTGGGGGAGAGGATAAAAATCAACGTTATTCCTACTTCTGCAAGACTTCTGCTCCAGGTTTACAACTGTGGGAGCCTCTCAGGTGTTGTGTGGAGGTTTTGGGCAGAAATTGCCTGCCTGATCAGTCTTGAAGCCTGGACAGATTGCAGTTGACTTCAAACGAAGGTTTTCCTTGATAAAGATGTTGGTTTTCATAGATAGGCATGTAAACCTGAGCAGAGTACGAAATATTTTATCCGCAGGTGTGAGGGATAATTGTGTAAATCCTTCTTTCTGTGTAAAACTTGGTCACCTGCCTCCTGGAAGTAATAATGAATGCTAGTGAGCAGCAAGATCTCGGTGTTTAAATGTGTCAGGGGGTGTCTCTTATCAGTGATGAGTGGAAGAGCTGTTCGGCTGCTGTGCTTTCCTCAGGAGGATAAAAAAAAGAAAAAAAAAAGGGGAGTTGAGGAAAAAAATGAATGTGGCCTGACAGAAATACCAGCTTAAAATGTTTTTTGTTAGGCTCCGACAAGAGATGGATGCGTTCGCAGCAACGGAGCTGCAGATGAAAAGTATTCCTGCTTTCGTAAAATGAACATCTAGCTTTCTGGAGCTGGGGAGAACATAAATCTCTCCAGAAATGACACCGAAAACCTGCTGAGCGTTTGCAGCTGCCTGTCAGGGTGTGCTGAACGGGGTGAGGCGAGGAGGGCTGCGGTATTTTGATGGCTCTCGGAGCTGCACGTGCGTAATCCTCATTTGCTGCTTGTCACTCCCCGAATCTGAAAAGTCAAGCGGGGCGGCGTGGTGTTTAGTCATGCTTCTTAAACGGGCTTTGTAGGCTACTTTGCTCCCTTCTCCTTAATGATATGCTGCGAACGTCCTCCTAAACCTTAAATACAGCTCGGGAATAAAAGGGCCATTTTCATTTTCCCGTGTTTATAATGCCAATCAATTGGCGCCTTCAAGCAATTATTGACTAATTAAAGACTATCTCGGCCAAGGCAGAAAAAGCATTAGGAGCTCGCACGTGGCATTAAACCATTTGATAATATTTGCACAGGGCCAGAAATGGAGAAGCAAATAGAAATTTGCTGAACCTTTTAAGGAGGAGATTGGTGTGCCGGTGACCAGACAGAACAAATCTGTTTCCAAAGTGGGATCCCTTCGTGCTGCTTAATCCTTTTAAATGCTATATACAAATGAGCTGTCGGTGTCGAGGCTTGCCTGTGGAGGCCATGCATCACTTGATAATGTATTTGGCTACCTGTAATACGTTTTGCTACCTGCTCGTTTAATTTCCAGATGGAATCAAAGCTCAGGCCTGGAATTTAGTCCTCATGTGGTAGAGGGCTGTTCGGATTCAGGGCATGCAGTATGATACCTCTAGGAAGATTGGGGGGAAAAAAGAGCAAGAAAAATCACCTGACAGTGTTATATGTGGCTTGAGTGTGGACACAAACACCAAAAAGAAGTTCAGAGGTTTGATTTTTTTTGATATCTTTTCTAATAATCTCTTGGTTTATGCTTAAGCTCTGTTTTTTTTTTTTTTTTGCTGTAACTTGGCAAAGAAGACAAAAATCGAGAGTCTAAACCTCCCTGACCTTTCAGGCAAAGGTACATTGAGCTGCAGGAGCTGATTTATCATTTCTTTTTCAAACCCATATAAACTCTGTTGTGTTTCAGAGCGTAATAGCAAATCCAGGGCTTTTCCTCTGAGATTATGGAGTTGATGAAGGGGGAAAGGAAAGAAACAACTGAACAAGTCCCTCCTGCAGGGCTGTGCATTGCCCTAGCACAGCTCAGGCCCCTGTTTGTGCATCCAGATCCCAAATTGAAGTGTCTGTGGTCCTACAAAGTGTGTAACTCATGGGAGAGTCCCTGCCTGGAAGAGCTTGCTGTCTAAATGTGTGTTGGAGAAGAGGACAGGATGAGTAAATGATTTTTTTTTCCCCTGTTTTAATTATGGTAGGTGGGGGATAGGGGATAAGTGAGTTGTTCAGTGTCACAGTGGAAAAGCTGGAATTTGAACTCGCAGCCCTGTAGCCAGGGGGCACGGCTTCCTTGTGCACCACCATTTATTATTTTTAAATGGGTATTTATTGACCGATTCAGAGTTACTTAAGACTCTCACTGGAGTACGTGGAAAGACATTCAATTCCCTGTCCGGAGACTAAGCCAACCAAGAGTGTCTCTCTAATAAATTACACATTCATTTTTTTCCTTAATCCTTGCTCCAATTAATTGATCTCAGTGCCCTGATTAAAACAGCTCAGCTCACTTATCCTGGTCTTTGTCCCTTGTGTCTGCCTCCGGGCAGGTGCAACCTGGATGCTGGCTTTGCTGTGAGCAGCGTGAAGTTTTCCAGAAGTGTTTTTACATTAGAAATGCTCGCAGTGAAGGCTTCTGATCTAACTTTTCTACCACTGTTAGGAGGAGATGAATAAGTTGCTGCGCTCCTCAGATGCTCTGCCAGGCTCGTAAGAGCAAACAAGCCTCCAGTTCGAGTCTTTTTGCTAAGAGGATGCAAATAGTAGCTTAGAAATCTAAGGTTTTGTGCCCAAGAGAATGTCTTTACAGAGCTACAGGGCTTATTATGAAAGGGGCTGTGTGCAGCTGCATGACTTGCTTGTTTTTTCCAGGATTCGAGATAAATTCAAATAATCACCGGCATAAATCTCCCTCACGAGGCTGCAAGAACAACTGTACCAATGAGAAAACATGGAGCCAACGAGTGTAAAAATATATTTAATGCTGTTGGTGCTGCTCACTTGTTTCCTTAATATAATGCACAGCTGATTCCAGTCATTAATAGGCTTCTCAGTGAATGAAACAAAAGTGCTAAGAAGTATAAATTGCCCTTTATAATCAGGAGTCAGTCATTCCCCGACTTGGTTCACCAATTATTTACTCATTCCTTTAATAGAAAGAACGTGCACTTAAAAGGAAAGCAGCTTTATATGCTGGCAGAACTTGGTTTTTCTCAAGTGGGGTCTCCTATAAATAGGGGGAGCAATTTTTCTTATAGCTCTGTAGGTTTTTATTTCAAAAAGCTTTGGAAAGCAAGTGGTTATGTGTAATATCAGGGTCTGGAAAATGGATGTTTAAATGTCTTAAAAAGAGAACCTTGCACTTTTCAGGACCCTTCAAGTAAATTAATAAGTTAATAACTTTGCAGGTGGGCTAGGGGGAAGAATGAGGGAGAAAAGGTGAAGCAGCACAAAGGGTTTTATTGCAGGTAGGTTCCTGGCAGCACCCAGGTGTGGTCTCTTTCCAGGTTAGAGACCATGAAATGCCAATATTGGCTCATCAAACTTTAGGTTTTCCGTAACATCTGGGAAAAAAGGAATTTCTCTTGTGCAGCCTTAGCATCTGCTTGTCCTGGTGGTTGTCTGGGAGAGGGCTGCGGAGGCAGGATCTGCTCCACACTTGCCAGAGTGCTTCAGATAATCACAGCCCGATCTGTTTTTATTTGTAGACCTCCCCTGCCTTAAGAATTGATATGCAGCGGAGCCATCCCTGTTGCTATCAGCTGAGGATCTGCCCATTGACTGCGGTTCAGGCTCTAAATTAAAGCTGATGAAAATCTCCACCGAGACTGCGGAGTCCAATTTTACCTCATTTGGCGTTGCAGTAAGAAGAAGAGGAGGTAGTTGGCTGTTAGTTCACAACCACTTTGCTGGCAAACAGTCCTTTAATTCTGAGACACTCGTTCGTTAAAGTCCTGCCTGAGTTTTTAAGCTCTGAAGCATAAATGCAAGGCAGAGTTGTGGAGGTTGGGTGTTGGAGAGAGCACTTTGGAGACCAGAAATCAAGCATTTGATGTTAAAATGAGATGATTGGTGAAGGTATATTATATATTCAGGTATATTTGTGAAGTTAATAATATAAAATAATACAAAATATTAATGAATTTAAATTTTTAGCTAATTGAGACCTATTTATGGAAGACTTTCTAGGAATGGCATTGCTGACAATCCTGCTTTGGAGTGGAGCTGAGAAGTTCAGCGTTCAGCTATTCCCTCCTTGCTGATGAACAATTTTTGAGGTGGGTGGCATATGGTGAGGGAAGCGCCTGCAGGAGGGCTTTTTTGGGAAGCTGTCCCAGTCCTTTCCATGTTGCTTGCCTCTGTTTTGCCCCGAGCACCTTCGAGCCCCAGCCTCTCCCGTGCGCTTTGCCCATGGTGATCCTGATCGGCGTGGTCAGGGCTTGTTTGGGGCCAGGTGCCAGGAAATCGGGGCTAAATGCAATTTCATACACCAGCA